TTTTTTTTTTTTTTTCTAAATTAATCTATATATAAAAAGTAAAAGACAGAGAATGGTGAAACATTCAAAATACCAGAAAATGCCCTTGGTTAATTAAAAAATTAAAATTTGAAATTATTAATTAAATGAGGATAATATGGTAAATTCATTTTTTTTTATATTAAAAAAATTAAAATTAAAAACGAAATCAGATAATAATTACCCATGTTATCTTTTCTTAATACTAAAAATAATAATAATAATAAACCAATTGGCACATGCGTGAGCATGTGCCAAGGAGCTAGTATATATATATTGTATAGTACAACCCTAATTTCTACCCTTACCAGATAATCTCCATCAATTTCAAGAATTCTCTTCATCTTTCAATTGCAAGTAAGCCATTTTAATTTTCTCTCTAATTCTTCGCAACTGTAATTTGAAGTTCCGTATAATTTTTTTTCGATGTTTTTTTTCAATATATTAGTTATCTTATTCGTTTATGTGATATAGTAGAAATTTGATGTACATGCATCATATTTGTATCTTAGAAAAATTAATGGTGTTGTTTTATAGCTATGAATCGAAAAGATCCTGCGTAGAAGTATGCAAAAGAAATATAGGGGGAAAATACTTGAGATGCACATTTTGTGATCAAAGATGCAGTGGAGAAATTTCTATACTTAAGCATCATTTGGGTCAAACACATCATGGTATGCAACCATGTAAGAAAGTTCCTGAGCATGTGAAAAAAGAGCGTGCCTCAACTTTGAAAATTTTCAGCTTGAAAAAAGAAAGAAAAATGAAATGCTTAGAGAGATTAGGGATGGTCCACAAGGAGGGGCTCACAGTATGGAAACTTCATAGGATAAAGAATATGGAATTCCCGGTACTAGGAGTGTTGCAGTTGATAAGGCTCTTAGAGCACAAACTAAATCAAAAGGACCAATGGATAAATTTATCACTTTAGAAGCTCGGCAAAATACATTAAATTCAGCATACAAACAAGAAGAAAGAAAGGAAGTTTGTCGAAAGATTGGTCGTTTTTTCTTCTCTAGAGCACTCTCATTTAATATTGTAAATGATCCATTTTGGCTACTTATGGTGGAAGAGATTGCTGCATATGGTGTAGGATTTAAGCCTCCATCAATGCATGAGCTAATGACTTTGATTCTTAAGGAAGAAGTTGGATGCAATGGGTTCCTAATGCTTAATTTTAGGTTAGACAACAAATGATCAAATTAGGGAATTAGGAACACAAGGTTATGACCACACACCATGGCTTAATCATACTTTAGCTAGAATCAATCCATTAATCTAAATTGAACTTGGGAACTTATTTGCTTGAGTTACTTATTTCTTTCTTCCTTGTTTTATGTTATTTGTTTTTGTTTCTATTTTGTGTAGGGAAACTAAATTGGATCATTCAATCACCAATCCCTGTGGAATCGACCTCGCACTTACATATGCTATACTACCAACGGTTCGTGCACTTGCGAGTATCACAAGTTGAGGATGCAGCTTAATCCATTTTGGTGGAGCTAAATCTACGCAACATATGACAAGCCTCTAGTGTTATTTGTTGGTTCAAACAACCACCGGTTGAGTGTTGGTTGTGCCCTATTGCTTGACGAGACCTTTGGAACATAAAAATAGTTATTGGAGACATTCATATGCTCCATGAAAGGCAAGAAGCCTACATCAATACTGACGGATGGGAATGAGGCAATGCGCACAAAGTAATTGAGTATGTGTTGCCCATGTGCAATCATAGTTTGTGCTCATGGCATGTGGCAAGGAATGCACAGAATAACTTAAAGGATGAAGAATTGGTACGATGGTACACATAAACAAAAGGATGGCTGCAAATGATGTATGCAAAACAAGATGCATGGGCCAAATCACGTCTTAGACCTAAGTTTTTCGGTGGTATGTGTACTACTCAATGCGTTGAGTGTATGAACAAGTTTCTAAAAGATTATTTGAGGAAAGGCGTTAAGTTGTTTGAATGCATACCACCGAAAACAGTCAAAGAAAGTGCTTACAACAACACTGAAAAGTCTTGAGCAACATGTGATGAGCACATAATTATTACAGGTAATATCCCTTAAATGATATTTGTTAGTATCTTATTTGTTTAATTTTGAACTAATTGCTTTGATACATGGGTATGTCACATGTGAGTTGTTGTTGTTACAAGGATGGCTTATTCAACTTGGACAATAAACATGTCATGGGCATTCACATGGGCTGACAACAAAATGATGAAAGGCTACCTTTTGGAGGTTTGCACATGCCAAAGGAATGCAAAGAGAGAGATGGTTGGCCACCAAAGGAAAGAGATAAGGAAATGGAATCATGATGGCAATAAACAATGGAAGTGGAGCATCAATTGAG